CTAAGACACAAAGTCTTTTGTTATTCCTTTAAAGCTGTACTTCCTCCTCCAGATACGGACCACAGATATTAATTACTATCAGACAGACACAGACAAACAAACACAGACACATCATTACAGGAATGCTAGATTTCAAATTCATTATTATATTAGAAAAATACTAATTTAGCATTTACTCAAACATGTTATAATTCAAACAATTATTGAGCAATTATCAATTAAAACAACAAGAAACATTACAACATTATTGCATGTACCCCAGACACATATTTTATGCCCCCTCCCCCATTTAAAAAAGGGTAAGGGGGAGGAAAAAAAGAAATACCAGCCAGCCAATAGGATGCACACCTGCCACAGGAGAGAGAGCTGCTATGGTGCCCAGAGTTTGGAAAACATGAGGGAAGGAGGACAGAAAGAAGAATCTCCCCAGTGAAGAGCAACCTCCTCACCCTTGCTTAGGAGTACAGGGAAAACGTTACCTAGACAAAGTAGCTAACAGAACAGAAGGAACCCTTACAGAATCTGTGTTCCTCACTAGCTCACTCTGTCATGGTAAAAATTTCTACCATTTAACCAGAAATCAAATCAATAATGCCCTAAGTCCCTGCCCCCAGTATCAGATACAATGACCAAGAAGCAGTACATTAATACCTACATTTTACTAGTCTGCCAGTGAAAACTGCCAGCTAAGCAAATCAACAAACAAGGCCAACAATAAGTCTTTCTTAGGAAGTAAAGGAGTCGTCTTACCCTTCCTCTACCACTGAACACACAACAAATAAATACCATTATATAAGTTCGAAGACAAAACCTGGATAACATCATTACCTTGTTCAACCCTTGTTTTTTATAGTCTTTATTTCTATTACATATTTCAGACTAGCCCAGTTTCCCAAATGTAATGGTACACACCTCATGCTATCTTACTTAATACATCAAAAGATAAATCAAGGACTTTGTCTCGGCTTAAAAATCCAGTCACATTTAGGCTCTACTTGTCTGACTCCCTTTCTTCTTCCTTCTAATCACTCTTCTACTTTATGGGGTTTCACTTGGAATTCTGAGAAACAAAACCCTCTTTCCCCAGTGGCTCCTAAATATTCTCTAACTTAACTGTAGAACTAGTTTATCTCTAACTAAATGTATAAGCATTACCAAGACTATAAGATTCTCCTAAAAGAGATTGCCTTCTATATAAGCCAATACATGACCTATCCTCACAAAACAAAAACAAATTTGGGTCTTCAGAACATCTCCATGAGAGTGCAGTACCTCACAAAACAAAAACAAATTTGGGTCTTCAGAACATCTCCATGAGAGTGCAGTACCTTTAAACTACAGCCAATAGACAATCTACAAGACACTCTCTCAAAGGCTCTTTAAATCTGTCCCCTGAGGACAGAAATCTAAATAGGCAAAAAGAATAATCAGAGCATGAGACATGACTATCTCCCTCAGACACAGTCACCCACCCTGAAGCCTTGGCCCCCCCAAACAAGCATCTCCCTTTCATAGCATCTCTCCCACCACCTCAAATGATACCTTACAGAGAACCAAGGCTTCCCATAAACCCTTTAAAAACCATCTCAGCTTTCTTTTTGCAACAGAGAATCATGACCCCATAGGACAAAACTTTCTAGAAAAATCCAGAAACGTAAACTTGGAAAATGTGTATCATGGTCAAATCTCCCAACAGAAAGAGACAAGCGCTGCAAATCTCACTTGACTTTTCACACACTCCCTTTTCCCAGCACCCTCTGCCCTCCTCAGAGATCGGAATTTGAATTGCAAACAGCCCCTGACAATTTATTTTTATCTTACAATGTCTAGTTTCTGCCTCCAAGAACACCCCAACCATTCTTGATTCCTAACTGTAAATAGAGAGTCCCAATCATGTCCCTTTCCCCCTTCTGAGACCATAAATGGAGATGGAAAGTGTACCCTTTTCTTACAACTTACTGGCTGCCTACAGAACAGCATCAAGAACACCAAAGTCAGTCAACTGGCTCTGTCTCCAAGGGTTATTCCAGAAGCCAAGGAACAAAACTAATGTTTCCTTTCAAGAAAGGTGCCATACTTGTGCAGAAGTGACATAGGCACAAGCAAATTTACCAATTCTCTTGATCAAAAATAAATTCACCAACTTTTAATAATACATGGGGAGGAACCAGAGAAAAGGCATTTTTCAAAGCACCAAATTGAGCTTATAATTTCCTTTGGTTATGTAATTGTGAGTAATGAAATCAGTGTCTCTGACAGTTAAGCACACCTCTTAGTTGTAGTATATATTGTGACACATATTTACAATGTGCTGATATTTACCAAGCATTTGGTAATGTCTAAAACCACAATAATCTGATGTACTGAAACGACATTAAAAAGATTTCCAAATCAACTTTCTCTCCTTCAAGATACAAATACATGTAAGCAGTACCTTGTAAGTCATTAGAATACCAAAAACTCAAGGGCAGTCTGTTTAAACAGGGCACAGCCACTAAGATTGTGGGGGTGAAGGGCTGAGGTGCACGACTCAAACATGGACTTAACTGCTACCCTAGGACTAACTAGGATTCACTTGAGAGCTTAGACATAGATAAAAAGGACATTTGGAGACCTTCCAATTCTTACCACCTACTGAAAAGATTATACAATACATTATCTAAATGCTTAATCAAAGCATATAATTAAAAGACTGGGCGGCTGTATCAACAATCCTAAATAAACCAACTAAAACCTTCTCTGAATCAGGCATCCTGATGCTCCAGTCCAGGAAAATGAGGCTGCAGCTCCCATTTGAGTCAGCTACCAAATCCAACAAGATATACCATTTGGCTTTCTTGGTGAACCCACAGTCTACTTAATATGATATAATCTTGCTTCACTTCCTTTTTCATTTACCTCACTCATCTCAGAAGTGTATAGCAATTTAATCTCTAACTAGAGAAACTTAAAAACTACCAAAGGCTATTCTATGAAAAGACAATAGTTAACTTCTTTACTGTGAGAAATCTCTCTAGTAAATTGATTGCAGGTTTTTCTCTCCTCCCTGGAGGAAGGGCTCTATAAGACTTACTATTCACCCAAATAGAGGTTGTGAGGAGTCGAGGAAATCTAGACAGAACTAAGTAAGGTAACTTCAGGGGGCCAAACCAGAGTTGTTCCCAGTACCTGATTCAGAAACGCCAGGTGAATGCTATCAATCCACCATACCAAGTGCTTGTGTTTCAGGACTACAAATGGAAAAGAATCAAAGAAAAGGCTTGAGGGGTGCTCCATTACCAAAGCAGGGGGAAAAGCTGGCTGAGAGCTGACAATCTATAGGACAGAAGGAAAGTTTTGCCAGAGTTTAAGGTTAAAGTAAAAGGAAATCAGAGAATAAAAAGATGACATTCATTGTGGATGAATGTATGGGGAATCTATGGGGAGAAGGGCAGGTAAACAAAGGCAGGAGTTTTAGATTGGCAGGATTGAGGGTTTGACGGCAGCAATGCAGAGAAAGACCCAGGGTTACAGTACACGTAACATTAAATACAGTGCACAATGCAGCTATCTTGCCAAGGTAAGTAAATCCAGTATTGGGTTGTATAAGCAGAGGAATCACATGTAAGCTATGAAGGTGGCTCTTCCTCTCTATTCAGCACCGGTGAGGCCACAGCTGGAGCACTGCATTCAGGTCTGGGCATCGAACCAGCTACAAGAGAGGGAAATTGTAGAGTTCAGAAAAGGGCAAATAAAATAATGAAAGGCTTGGAAAATAAGATCTACAAGCAGGGCCAGTGGTTTTCAAAGCCCTTCCTGACATCATTAAGTTATTCAAGGTGACACTGAGGTTTTCCACTTCAGTGTCCTCTAATCCCTGCTCTTGCATTCAGAAGTGGGAAAAGCTAGTTCCTCCCTGGTTTGGGAACACAGGAAGCAAACTAGCTAGCTCATACAGGCATAGGCCAAGGATTCTGCTAGTGGCTCCGTACTTTACCCACTTCATACAGTAAAATAGTCACCATGACAAAAACCACTGTTCTAACAGAGCTGAGAGCAAGTGGAACAGAGCATACAGTAAGGAGGAGCAGAAATAAGTCATAACAGCCATATAAACACACTGCTGTTTAGAAAACACTGGCTTCATTGGGCTAAGATGTCAGATGAAAAAATACAGTGAACCTGCAGGGAGGACAGCTTAGTTATAATAGCAGGAAACAGTGTTATAAGAAAAAACAAACAGTACACAGCTTTGCAAATGTAGTTGTCAAACCGGCCATACTAAACATGCCCAATGGCCAACTGAATGCAACAACCCCAAAATTATTCTCAAATGATCAAAATGTCTAAAAGTGTCAAAATAACACTTCAAACTGGGCATGGAAGTTCACATCTATTATCCCAGCATGAAAGGCAGAAAGACTGCCTCAAGTTCAAGACCAGCTTGATGTTCACTGTGACAGTGTCTGTGGAAAACAACCCCACCAAACAAATAGCTCTGGCTAAGGAAAATGAGTAGTCTCTGTAAAATAGATCCTTTTCCTTTAAACTCCTATTACAATTACTACTAGTGGCTCCTACAACAATGAAACACCAAGTTTAATAAAAATTCAAAAGGTCTGAGAACACAGCTCAGTGGAGTACTTGCCCTGGGTTCAATCAATCTTAAGCAACACGAGCACACACACATTCATCCTCCCTCTCTCTCATATGGGTCTGGGGATGTAACTCGGTTGGTAGAGTGCTTGCCTAACTTGATAACAGTAGGTGGCACTCACCTGTAATCCAAACACTGAGATGAGAGGCAGAGGTAGGAGATCTCTGTAAATTCCAGGCCAGCCTGATCTACATAGAATTTCAAGACAGCCAGAGCTAAATAGAATGGTCTGTCTCAAAAAGAAGAAAAGGGGGTGGGGGAGACAAAAGAAAAACAAAAGCATGAATTTGCAATCATATTTTTTGACATACAATTGCAAATTTTGGGTAGAAAGTACCTAAAACAAAACCATCTGAGCACAAAT